ACACTTATTAGGAAGTATTGACAGAGCTTGCCACAACTAAAATCTTTGGTTTTTTTTTCTTTTTTTAAGACAAGATCTCACTGGATGACCAGGCTATATGTAATGCATGTGTGACAGTTTGATGTTCGTGTGGCACTAAGGCCATTTTTAGAATTCTTCTCTAGGAATATGATATGCAAGCAATGGGGAAACTGGATCAAAGATACCTTCTTGTGATCTCTATTCTGTACAAGTAAAATTAAAAGAAATATACAGTGGTGCTTTAAAATATTTAACTTCTTTTGTCTGTTGTATTCTTTGTTCTGTGTTTTGTTTTCTTCTGAATTTTAATCACCCATAGTTACCTGACTTCAAATTAGTGTTTGGTTTATTCTTGGTTACCAAAACTTCTGTCTGCCTTCCCTTTTCCCTTCCCCCTTTACCTTTCTCCTTCCTTCCCTGTCCCTTGTTGCCTGTCCCTTTTCCATTTCCCCTTCCCCTCTCCCCTTGACTCCTTTCCTCTTCCCTTCTTTTTTTCTCCTCTTCACCTCTTCTCCCCTTCCCTCTCTTCTCTTTATTCTCCTTTCCTTTTCTTTTTTCCTTCCCTTTGCTTTCCTCCTGCCCCCTTTTTTCCCTCATTTTTTTCTCTCCCTTCCTCTTTCTCTTCCTCCTTCCCTGGTTCTCCCCCTTCTTCTCCCTCTTCTCCCCTCCTCTCTTCTCTCTTTCTCTCCTTTCCCCTCATGGAACAAGACCATGGGGACCAAATGCATCATTTCTGTCAAGCTGGGAAAACACTCTACCACTTGAACTATGTTCTTCCTCCACCCCTCCCCTCCCGCAAGTTAGTTGTTCTTGAACACAAAAAGGAACGTGGTGTATTAATACTTTGAGTAGTATCCAGCCTCATTTCCACTTACTTTCTCACTTGGCATTTTTCGTCTCTACTTAAACTCGTTCCACGTACTAAGAAGCAGCATGCCCGGGGTAGTGGAATTTTGGAGAGTTGATCTCTTCTGGGAGAATTTCACTGCCTTTGCAGCCCCACTTGGGACACCTCAAGTTCAGGAACAAGTTCTAGAAGGCAGTCATTTTTCAAGGGATCTAGCATCATGGGATCTAGATGGAGTCACGAAACCCTATGTGTAAACTACGGTGAAACTGTCTCTTCACCCACATATCGTTAATGAGACAAGCTCAGCTTCTAAAGCATCCTCGCAATCTTGTTACAGTGCGCTAGGAATACCAGTGTTAGCTCTTTCTGTCTTTAGCGCATGATATTTGTTTGTTTTTAACCTGCTTATGTCTGTTTCTCAAACTGTGATTGTGGAGTTACTTTTGCCTGTCAATTTTTGCTTCATATGTCTACAGCTCTATTATTAGCTGCATTACATGTGCTTGATTGCTGGGACTCTTTTTTTTCTTTGTGTTTTTTTGTCAATCTGAGTGATCCTTTTATGTCTTTTTCTTCAGTCTTTTGCTTAGTGATTACCTGGTATAATCCTTTTTTAAAAATTCTGTTTTATTGTGGTGATGATGTACAGAGGGTTCCAGCTGCATGAGTGAGGTGCTGAGCACATTTCTTGTTGAGCAGTGTTATATCCTCCTTTACTGTTCTCCCATCGCGTCTCTTTCATGAGGATCTCTAAAAGATGGCAGGGAGTTGGCTTTTCCTTTTTGTACACACGGCTGTCTTTTCCTTTTGGCTTTATTCACTACGTATAGTTAACTAATATAAAAAACCTTTAGTGGTATGTATAAAGTCAAAATTCACTTACTATTTGTCTTTTGTCTCTTCTGATCTTTTTTTGGTGGTTGTTCCTTTTGCTCTGTCTTCTTTTGGGGATGTATAGTGAGCAAATTATTATTTTTTAAATCCACTCTATTGGCTATTAGACATGGAGGCATATGAATAGAATTCCAGCACTGGGAAGTCCCAAGAAAGAGGAGAATCAGTTAGCCTTCGGCCTTGGGGAAAAAATTAAGATGGACAAAGGTGAGTCATGGTCTACTGTGTAGTCCAGGCTGACTTCACACTTGCGATCCTTCTTCCTCAACCACTCATTGCTGAGATCACAGGCATATGCCAGCATCCTACCTTGTTCTACTAACTTTCTTTAGCCATTGGGGAGTAAGGATGTGAGTGCTAGTGCTTGCTCTAGTGATTGCATTACACATCTGTAACAACTGTGATTTTTCCTTAGCATTAATGTGATATTAGTTCACATAACCTGGAAGGTTAGAACCTTGAACTATATATAGCCATCTCATTCTTCCCTGTCATTGTGCCTATGTGTCTTTGTATGTTCCAAGCCACTCAAGTGAAGTGGATTTTTTTGTATTTAGACAGTCAGATGTATTTTAAAAGCATTAATAAAAAATAGTGCTTGAATGAGGGAAGAAGCGACACTGTTAAAAAAGAAATGGACCTAATATCTGACTTATGTAACTGTGACCCCTCTGTACATCATCTTTACAATAAAAATTTTAAAGAGAAAAATAGTGCTTTATACTTTCTCATGTTCATCCAGGATTTGCTTAGGATATAGTAGGTCTGCTGTGGGCAAATATTCATATTTTCTCTGCTGTGAAGATTTTGCTGCCTTCATTTCTGGTGGCTATTTGCACTGGGTGTAGCATTCTGGGTTAATACTTGTCCTGTTCTCTGATGTCAGCAATGGCTCTTGCCATGACTTCTTTGTATGGATTTGTTATTTTACCTATGCCCTCATTTGTATTTTTTGTTATATTTGATTTCCAGCAGTTGACTGTATACCTGGGTATACTTTTCTTTATGCTTCATCTATCTTGGGTTTGCTGATCTTTCAATCTGCATGTCTGTTGTATTTCACTTAAACTGAGGAAATTTGTAATTCTTATTTCCTCCCTACCTTACACTCTCTAAATCTCTCCTTGATCTCTTAAAGGTGTACAAATATTTCTTTATGGCCCTAGTAGTGCTTGATAATCTTTTTTTTTGTTCTTTTTTATTCTTTTTTTAATTTTTATTTTTTATTGTGAACATATTGTACAGAGGGGTTACAATTACATGGGCAGGATAATGCGTACATTTCTTACCAAGCATTGCAGCCTCCTCCTTTGTTCACATCCCTTCCCAGCCTCCCCCCACTTTAGGTTGGATTTTCCTTTACATCCTTAAACATACTTAAGGAAACAGTTTCATTGTCATTGTGGGCTAATCCTACCTAGCACGTGGATTATTGTATATAAACTTTTTATGCACATGTAAAGTGATTGTTTTATGGTCGGTCATAGGCTTGAACTCTGGGCCTGGGCTCTGTCCTTGTACTCTTCAGCTCAAGGTGAGTGCACTACTGCTTGAGCCACAGCGCCACTTCCAGTTTTTAGTGGTTTATTGGAGATAAGAGTCTCATGTACTTTCCTGCGCCGCTGGCTTTGGACCACAGTCCTCAGCTCTCAGCCTCCTGAGTAGCTAGGATTATAAGTGTGAGCCACGGGCGCCCAGCTGTAAAGTGATTTTTGGAGTGTATTGGATTCAATTTGTGAGTGATATTTTAGGTGGACTGCCTTGTCTCTTCAAAGAGAATTGAGATTTCATTTTTAATAGGCAGATAATTTTACTTTGTTCAGCTCAAAGCAAATGTGTACGTCTTGGTGGCTAGTTGTTTTGTTTAGCTGACTAATACAGACTATGTGCTATTCGTGAACTAACATAGGAGACTCAGCTGCAAACCTAGATAGACATAGATACCTAACTTCTAGCTGTGTGTACTCTAGTTCATAGACAGAGACATAAGCAAGTCATTCTGCTACTCTCTGTACATTATTAGAGGTCAGTTCTTAGACAACAGTGGGGCTACTAAGGAAACAGTTGTGAAATTGTTAAAATACAGTTAGATTGTTTTTGAAATAATTAAGTTCTTCTTATAATGGTGATGACAGATTGGCTGATGAAGAATGACTATTAGTTGTACTTTCATCTGATTTTGTTAATTTTTTCAATGTAGTTTTGTTTTTATTTTTCAGAAACACACTGTATCATGAGAAAGCAAAATTAAAATAAGTGTTGGGGGGAAGGGACAGGTCGAAGGGGGGTGAAGTTGTTGAAAGGTGACACAGATCGAGATGCATTGATACATAGGTGCTTTATTAAATGACAAAATAATTCAATACATAAGCTAAAAATTAAGAGAAGTGAAGGAAGGGGTAGAGGGTGAGAGGGGTAGTGAGAAGGTTGATATGTGACACTGATCCAGATGCACTATATTTATAAACTGCTTTGTTGAATGGCAACTCCTTTGGACACTTACTGAAAGACAATAAAAATATCTTTTAAAGGGTGTTGGACTGCGCAGGGCCGAGTGCTCAAAACGTGTGTGAGGGATGAGCTCCACTCCCCACTACCGCATATAAAACACATATAACTCGAGTTCTATACTAAATAGGAAGACTTAGTGATACAAAAAGAGGATTTGAGAAAACTGTAAACATACACAACTACATGTTCAGGTGTGGTGAAATTGTAGACATTGCTAAAATGAAGTTGAAAAAATATCCCTTAGCCAGGTGGCTGGTGAGCCATGTTTGTAAATCCTAGCTACTCAGGAAGCTGAGACCTGAGGATTGTGGTTCAGAATCAGCCCAGGCAGGAAAGCCCACTATGACTCTTACCTCCAATTAACCATCAAGAAACTGGAAGTGGAGCTGTGGCTCAAATCGCATAGTGCCAGCCTTGAGGGAAAAAGCTCATAACAGTACACCCTGAGTTCAAGTCCTAGTATCAGCATCAAACAAACAAACAACAACAACAACAGAAAAAGTGCCTCTTGGGAAGAATGTATAGATAGACTCAAAGTGTTAATTAAAGCTCTGTAGATTTTTTTTTATGTAAGATATATCCAAGGCTTTCTGATCTGCTTTGGATGTGACTTATCTATATTTATATTTGTGTAAGTGACAGGGTACCATGAGGTTGGGGTTTGGTAAAACTATGTTTACTTTCACAGTAATTGCAACCTTGTCTCTTTTTCCTGTTTTAACAGTGTATCCTACTCAGTGCATGTTTCTGAAGATTACCCAGGTATGCTTTCCTTCCTTTACATTTTTATTATGGATGTTCATGTTATGGCTGTGAATATGTTTTTCCTCTAGAGATATAAAACATAAATACACGGAGCCATGAAGCACTGGCAGAGGAAGTCTTAAAAGTGTAGAATAACTGTGAGCCGCATGTATTAATCTAACACACAGTCAAGGATCCAAGTAATTTCCTGATGAGGAACTCAAAGGAGTGCTACTCTCAAGGCTGCAGCTATTATGTGGTTCACGTGAAGGGGCAGAGGTGGGGGGGGAGAGGGAGAAAAAGACCGTGTTTTCAAATGTGACATTTAACTTTGGCATAGTGGTATACACCTTGTAACCCCAGCACTCAGGGGCTGAGTTAGGAGAATCAAGGCCAGTATGGGTTACGTAGTGAGACTTTGTCTCAAAAAATGAATTAAATGAAAGCAAATATACAGCCATAAAAAAGAAAAAGGACAATTAAACTTGGACTACACTTAATGAAAACTACCTCAACAGCAACATACAGATAGGTACCAGTGATTCCTAGATATTCAGGAAGCCAAGGACTGAGTATCTCAATTCAAAGCCAGCTCACACAGAAAAGTCTGCAAGACTCCCATTTCCAGGGAGCCCACAAAAGCCAGAATGAAGGGTGGCTTAAATGGTGGAGCACCAGTTGTAAGCAAAGAATTAGCTTAAACACAAAAGAAATAAAGTTTAAATAATCCTCTGATACCAAACTACGAACTATAAACTATTTTCTTTCCCATGTTTTATTAGCATCCATTAGTTATAAAAGAGAGCTTTATTTTACACATCGATATCTCTATCTGTCTGTCTGTCTGTCTATACATGGCACCTTAATTACATTCACTGCCCTCTATGATGTACTGTTTTTAATATGGACTGTACTATATAAATATATTCAGACACCTAGACATGCATACATACAAACATACCTACACAATGAAGTTACATACAAACACATATACAATGAAATTACTGTGGAGAATGACCACCAATTATATTTTTATAGTATGGAAGGTAAAATCATGTTCCCAAACTAACAATTAAGCCAGTTCAGAGAACTTTTGAGTAGAGTCTTTTACTTACTTATCGGGACTTCAGCTCAAGACCCAGTCTATCACTTGAACCATGTTTTTTCAGTTTAGTTTTCACATAGTCTACTTTTTCCAGACACAGTCTCAGCTGTGATTCTCTTATATTTAAAGCCAACTTCTTAAAATTATTTTGCTATGCTTGTCATATTTTTAGCATATATTATTTTGCTATGCTTGTCATATTTTTAGCATAATATTCCATAAAAAATAGACATTGATTTTTTCCATTATTAGTGCTTGTTGTTTTTAAATAGAAAATTGTTTTGAGCTCTACTGAAAGATCCAAGTCAAGGAATATTCACGAGGAAAAATATTTTTTGCTGATAGTTGTGCAGTCATCTCTCTGGATGCAGAATGTTTCTGTATTGTTTGGGAAATAAAAGCTACCCTACTTACTATTACCTACGTGTCTTGTAGCTGTATAAAACTTTACATCACAGAGATAAAGTAATACCACTTTATCAAAACTCCATCTGAAGACGCTAAGAGAATATTATGTAGCCCTGTATGTATGGTAGAAGATGCCTTTAGCAAAGTAAATGGACCAAAAGCTTAGCTCCCTCTTGTGGCCAAGGGGCATTGTTTGGGCTTTTTCCAACTTGATAGGCACTTCGCTTAGAAATACAGTGTGGTTCCCTGTAAAACTCCTATTTACTTGCTCATTTTTGTATTGTTTGCAATGTTAGGGACTGAACCTGACATCTTGCTCATGCTGGGCCAAGTTCTCTACTACCAGGCCTTGGCCGCAGCCCCTTAAATAACTAAAGCTTCAAAAGAAACCATAATTAATTAATGGATTTGCCTTCTGGGGCACGAGTTTGTAGTAACTTTCCAATATAGAAATGTATTTCATTGACTAAAATAAAGGAATGTAAAATCAAGGCTGCGATTTAAAATGCTGGGGCAGAACTTTGAACTGGCCGATGCATCTGGTGTGTATGCAGTATGCATAGTATGCAGCGCTAGGTACAGAGTCCTTCAGTGTACTTCAACTCAACCAGGCACTACAACGTACATGAGTAATGGTGTTCATTCCTGAGGAAACACCTTACAAAAGGTCAAAGGCTATTTCCCAAGGGCATGTGGGTTAGTCATTTAAAAATGTCTATAATTCAGCTTTGATTCTGTTGCTGGTGGGGAGGAACTGTTGGTGTTTCTATGGAGCTATCTTCAAAATGAGTATTATTACTATGATAATTTCTCCTCCTTTATTAAATTTTAATCCTCATTTATTTGTCCTAAGAGTTGTTAGTTCATATGGTTTGAGTTTCCAGATAGATAGTTATTAAAAATTCTGTTTCTGCTCTTGCATTCTGCTCTTCATATCTGTGTTCCCCCCCCCCTCCATAACTGGCTTGGACTTCCTGGAGTAATATTTAATAATAGCTGTGAAAGTTGGCAACATTGTCTCTCTTTTCATAATTAGCGTGCTTTCAGATAAAATGCATTACTCATTTTCACATTGATCACTTTTGAAAAAAATTAATGATAAATCTTCATAAAATTCTTACTTGGCATTTGTTGGGGATGCCATGTATATTTTCTTCTTTAAGCACTAAAATGAGAGGTTACATTTTCAGGCATTTTAATGTTGACCTCTTGGAATTATGTCCACTTTTTATCACTTACTTTGGTGTAAGGGAACTAAATGGATCCCTGAGCATTTGAGAGAGCTAGCAGACCAATCTATCAGAGCCCGTGATCTTCTTAGGGATGGTTCTGGTACAATTCTTATATCTTTGCCACAATTATTGATGTTAGCTCTTTGTATTTCTTAGTTATTTTTAATGTGTTCTTCAAAGACACTGTACTGCTGAGATATCTAAAGTATTGAGCAAAAACTTTTAAAGTGTTCTGTCCTTAACTGTAAACAACAACAATAACAAAAATCCACCCCAAACCTCTGAGCCTGTTTTTATTTTTCTACTTACTCGTTTCTGTGGTCACATTTGTTCTTGTTGCTTTCCCTTTCCTCTCCCTTTGGTTTGTCTTCCTAAGTTGGCCTTTGGTAAAAATTCTGTCATACATATAGCTCTCTTTACTGTTGTTCTTAATTACCTTTATTCCTTCTGGCAATGTTCCTCTAGCTTATTTTTTCCTGCCTGTGTTGGATTGTTGGCTTCAGTGATTAACTCATCATCTCGGCTGGAAGTTCAGGATTATCTTCTCCCTTTGGGATTGTGTCAGCTTTGCCCCTCCGCCCAGTCATAATGCTGTCAACCTCCTGGGAATCGATGAACCATTTTATAATTTCCATTTTGCTTATTAACCAGTGAGATTGACTGAAACCCATTCCATTGTTTGTTTTTATGGAAATGAAGACTATATAGAGTCATGATTCTACAAAATGATGAGTATAAATGAAATGAAACCACAGAAGGGAAGAGAGCAGCCTTCTGACTTCCTTGGACTTTGTTGTGGCTTTTTTAGTGAGGAGTATCTGTAATGAATTTGAGAATGTCGTATTTACTATGGTCACAAGTTGGCTCTGCAATAACAGCCCAGCTGAAGTCTTCAATTCTCACCTGTTCTGTTCTCACATTTAATGAGAAGGCTTACCTCCTTGTGGGAATGAAATCTCTCTTCTACATTTCTTACTGGAATGTAGAGGTAGGAGGTTTCTGGATATACGTGAGGACTATGCCTGGCTTTTTTAAAATGAGAATTGGAATCCCACCCATATTCTATCAAATTAAAACCTTTAAAATATAGTTGTTGATATTTATAGTAGTTGTGGGGTGATATTTTCTGTTTGAAACAAATTAATAATATAGTGACAAGCATTGATTTTGATTCAGAAAGAATCAAGCTTTGCCATTTATTATTTACACTATTTAGTAATATAAGGGCATTATTTAATTTCTCTGAGCCTTGGTTTCTACATCTTTGAAAGTTACTGATACTTGGCTGGCTTGGGAAGTGCCATGAAATTCTAGAGAAAATTTATTGAAAATATCCAGAATATAGTATAAAGCCAATGTAATTAGTATTTGTAATTATAGTTATTGTTTGTCTCATTACATTGTAATGTAAAATGGAATGACTTAAATTATCCAGTTTTTCAATTTAAGTAGAATTAGTAGTTTCTGAGCTGCTTTTTGGTAGCTCTCTACTCCTCTTTTTTCAGTGGTACACAGAATGGGGAAACCTAGAGAAAATACTCATGTTCTTATCAGTGTTAGCAAAGATCTACAGGAAATCTACAAGATACACACTTAAAGATCCTGTCTACAGAGCTCTGAGCAAGCAAAAAGGAAGCTCCAGTGTCAAGTGGGAGAATTCTAGTAAGGGAATTTGAGTTGGCAAATATCCTTATTCTACATTGAAGTTTCTATATTGACTACTCTCAGTAAATACACTTCCTGAACCCTGTTTATGTTCTACTTTTCTATTTTTAAAGAAAGGTGATGGCATCATTACAGATGCTAACACAGTTTGAGGAAGATTTAGAAGTAATTTTTAGGCAATATAAAAGAAAACAGAATTCATACAGATTGGATTATCTCAGATCATCAGTAGCAGAAACCAAAATTTCTCCATTCTGTAGCTAACACTGTGGCTTTAGTATGAAAAGGACCCAGCACTAGTTGATATTGATGTTGAGTTTTTTAAATTTTAAGTATTTTAATTGCCGAAGATTGAATATTTAACACATAAAGTGAAACAATCACACACACACACACACACACACACACACACACACACACATTGTGTTGGTTACCACACTCAAACCAAACTACTTAACACATCTACCCATCATCACCCAGGCCTGTCTGTTAAACCTCTGGAACTTTTTCATCTGATAACTGAATATATGAAGTCTGATTGACACTTCTCTATTTCCCTCAAATTCCATTTTTGGTAACAAACTTTTACTCTGTTGCTGTTACTTTCTTTCTTTCTTTTTTTTTTAGATTTTGTGTGTGTGTGTGTGTGTGTGTGTGTGTGTGTGTGTGTGAGACAGAGAGAGAGAGACAGACAGACAGACGCAGAGAGAGACATTAAGCCTAAAACAAAAATTAAAAATATGCAAATGCCTAGGTACTAATCAAAATACAAACAAAACATCTTAAATATTTGAAAGCATATTTCTGTTCTTCAGCATTAGACAATACATATTCACCAAATTATATTCTTTGGAATCAAATCTTGCTGGTTTCTTGTACTTTTACTACTTTGTGGACTTTATAGTGGTGATGTGGGTGTTGTAGTTTTATTTTTCTGGTTTTAACTTTTTTGTAAGGAGTGAGAAACATTTTGATAAGAGAATTTTGATAGGGAAATCCTGGAAATTGAGTCATTCTCTGTATTATTCCTTGTTTCCTTAAGCATAACATTGCAAGTTTTTCAAAGTATCTTTTAGGTAATTGCTAAAATGGGTTTCAGTTCAATGTATGGCTTATGAATACAATGCATCTTGATCAGTTTTACTTTATCTTGATGCGTTGGTGAAGTCTTCCTTGTTTTATAGTGCTAGAAATTACATGATGCTTTAACAAAATTCATGGGCTAGTTTTCTTAGCAATTGGTGGGCATCTGTTACTGGTATTTTTCTAATGCTGTCTTTCATGACTTTTTTGTCTTAGTTTTGTTTGTTGGCTGATGCTGGCGACATCCTAATGATTTTGTATATGTTAGGGCAGACACTCCACCCGAACCTCAAGTCTACCCCATAGTAGTTTGCAACAAGGAATCCATCATGTACAGGGAACACAGAATTAGTTGATAAGGCAGCAGATAACTTCAGATCTATGAGAATGTGAATGAAGGGAAAACAACCTAGCTCTAATAGAAGGTTTTGACACTTAATGTCAAGGTATGAGGATTCTGATAGATGAGACTCGATCAGCATTTCACCTTATGTCAAAAGAACAACTAAAATAAATTCATATAAAATTTCTTTCTTATTCTGTAATGCCACTTAAAAATGGAAGAATTTTAGATCCTCTTTAATGGTATTAGAAACCTAAATGAAGCAACATTTCTGATTAACACTAACCAGAGAACGAGGCAAGCTAGCTTGTTTCATATCTAGTCTTCTTCACCTTTAAATCTGATTTTCTTGTCCTCCAGAGTGACTTGTAAAGCTTTCTGTTTAATGAGGACATTTTTTGCTAATTAGTATATATATATGTATGTACATATATATATATACATATATACACATATATGTATATATATACATATATGTATAGCTTCTCTTTTACTTTTTCTCCAAGTAAAAAAAAAACCAATACATTTTTAAGGAAACATAATGATTTTGATATCCCAATTGAAAATAATGTTCTCACTGAATTGACACAGTATTATTAAAAAGTGTCTCAAAAAAGTCTTCTGATATACATTCCTTCAGTTATCTGAACACTAATCTCACTTAGTTGGAATGAACCCATGCTACTCATATTACTTGGTGATGTTTTATACTGTTAATAAGTAGGGCATTTGCAATATAGGACCACTGTCAAGAATTGGTGAAGTGCCAGGCACTGGTGGCTCACGCCTGTAATCCTAGCTGCTCAGGAGGCTGAGATCTGAGGATCGCGGTTCAAAGCCAGCCCGGGCAAGAGAGACTGTGAGACTCCTATCTCCAATAAACCACCAGAAAACCGGAAGTGGCGCTGTAGCTCAAGTGGTAGAGCGCTCGCCTTGAGCTGAAGAGCTGAGGGACAGCGCCCAAGCCCAGAGTTCAAGCCCCACGACCGACCAAAAAAAAAAAAAAGAATTGGTGAAGTGTTTGTTAAGTAGCCATCTTACAGAGTCTCTGCGGTGATCAATGACAAAAGATGAATAAACCTGAGCATTATATGATAGGAACATGTACCTGAAGATCTGTAATTATTGGGGAACACAATAAACTTAGAGCGGTATTGTTTTTCCAGAAAAATATATAGGAAGTTTAAGAGTAATTTAACATGCTGTGTACTCAACTTGTGCGGTGCACACAGATAACATTGATTCATGAAAGAGTATTTGTAAGACTTCATCTCAACCTAAAAATATACAGTAGAGTTATGTAGAAGGTACGATTTCAACAAAACCTTCATCCTGAATTCCTAAATCATTTCATCTCGACTCTTTTACTGAGTCAGAGTCTTGCTAGGCAGCCTCGACTGACCTCAAACTCCCCATCCTGCTACCTCAGCCTGCCAAGTGTGGACACTACTGAAGTCTGCAACTATACTGGCTTTGAGTCTATTCCACCAAGTACTCTTTGTTAGGTTTTCTCCTTCATTCATTAACCCTGCTTCCAGTGGTAGGATTCTGTGTAGTGAACTGAGGCAAAAAGTTACATTCAAAGGATTTATTGTCATGTGGGATATTAGAAACACATTTGAAAATAGAAGGATGACAAAGGCCGGCAACCCAAGCACTCAAGAAGCCAAGGCAGGAGGAGGATGAATGGAGGCTAGCCAGAACTAAATAGTGAAATCTCATCTCAACAGTCACCCCCACTCATCCTCAAAAGAAAGAAGTGTATTAGGATAGTTTGTATCAGATTATTTTGGAAGGATACATAAATGTATTTGAAGAACTCACACATTTATAGACTTAATTCACACACAGATCTTGGCTTTTTTTCTTCAGAATGTTATCAGAATAGCAGCATGTTCCTTATGACAAAAGACGAGGACATAGCTCTTATTTTTATGAGTAATATATATTTGTGTTAGAAGTAAATTTAGTTCTAAGTAAAACTGTTGTCTTTACAAATAATATACAGAACATACAGGACATACATGTTTTAACGAATAACATATTAAAACATAGTAACGTTTTAAATTATCCATATTATTTTCAGACAATACCTATGTGTCAAGTTCAGAAAACGATGAAGATGTACTCGTTACTACAGAGCCAATTCCTGTAATTTTTCATAAAATAGCCACAGGTAACAGTAATGCAATGTTTTTCTTATCCTGAATTACTTTTTTTTCAAATTAAGTTTTTGTTTTTGTTTTTTCTTTTGGTCTGGTCATGGGGCCTGAACTCTGGGCCTGGGCGCTGTCCCTCAGCTCTTCAGCTCAAGGCTAGCGCTCTACCACTTGAGTCACAGCATGACTTCTGGCTTTTTTTTTCTTTTTGCTTATGTGGTGCTGAGGAATCGAACCCAGGGCCTCATGCATGTGAGGCAAGCGTTCTATCACTGAGCCATCTTCCCAGCCCCATAAATTAAGGTTTTTTTTATTGTGAAAATACTGTACAGATGGGTTACAGTTACATGAGCAAGGTTTCTTAATTGTACATAGTTTTGTTATTGGTTGGTTCTTTATTGCTAATATAAATATCCTCTGTATGTCTGAATCTGCATATAAATTTTAAATCTAAAATATGCTAGCCGGGTGCTAGTGGCTCACACCTGTAATCCTAGCTACTCTGAAAGCTGAGATTTGAGGATTGTAGATCAAAGAGATGGACAAGACATTACGTTGAAACAAACTTTACAGCTTCTAGGGGGACAGGGGAGTTGGGGCAGTGGGGGAGAAAGGGATAGTAGGTGAAAAACAAAGGAGGAGGTAACAATGCTCGATAGGAAATGTACTTTACTCATGTAATGTAACTCCTCTGTACAGTCTCTTTACAATAAAAAATATATATTAAAAAAAAGCCCAAGCAGGAAAATGCATGAGATATCTCTCCAATTAATCACCAAAAAACTGGAAGTAGAGCTGTGCTCAGGTGATAGAGAGCTAGCCTTGTGTACAAAAGCTCAGGAATAGCATCCGGGCCCTGAGTTCAAGCCTGAGAACCGGCCTCCACACAAAAAGAATACACTGGTTTGTTTAGAAAACACTATGTTGACACTGCTCTTGTAAAAAACATTTCTTTTACAGTTGTTCTGCTGAATATGAAGGGTAAAATCACACATCAATAAAACTTGGATATCTAACTCCCTAATATTATAGAATTTCAAAATATTCCTTCATACTTTTGCAAAAGAACAAGAATAACCCAATGGGAGATTTTAAGATCTTAAGAATGTTTGGTGAAAACCATTCTAAAAACTAACATTTATTTTTAACTGATAACCTTTCTCTTTCAGAATTAAGAAAAACAAATGATACTAACTGCTGTTTATCCATAAAGGCCAAATTACAAAAGGAAAATGGAGAGGTATGTAAGTTTTGTTTCTTATTTCTTAAGAAAATAACATAGATGCATTTAAAACAATGCTTGGTAAGAAATGTACGCATTATCCTGCCCATGTAATTGTAACCCCTCTGTACAGTATGTTCACAAATAAAATTAAATTAAATTAAAAAAAATAAAATGTACCAGGTATTTGAAGTTAAAATTTCATTGAGATTAAAGTTGCATATGGTCAATAAAACTTAACTTGGGTACTTTTTAATGTGGGAAGAGTGATCTAAAATTAACTCTGAGAAAGCAGTTCTCAGAACAACAGGAAAGAAAGAAGACTTAGTCCTAAGTAAATACAAAACACACTATTTGTTTTTTGGTTTTGCCTGAAGGACTGTAGTGAAACAGCAGCAGTTTTATGACTTTTTCAACACAAATTGAGCATACATAATTTCGGTGGGACACTTAAAATTTTGTTTCTAAAAGATGATCTTTTTGGGCCAGGCACTGGTGGCTCACGCCTGCAATCCTAGCTACTCAGAAGAATCACCTGCATGGGTAAGAAAGTCCCTGAGACTTGTATCTCCAATTAAACACCAGAAAACTGGAAATGGAGCTATGGCTTAAAGTGCTAGTGCAGTAGCCTTAAGCAAAATTGTGCAGGGACAGATGATCTTTTTAGACAAAGAAACAGCAGCTAGAATAACCTTGTTATCAATTGTTTAAAAACACAAATTCATCTCCCTTAAAAATTCTAATTGGATCTGTGCATACTTACTAGGCCTATCCCCCCACAGTGATTTTCACCCCCCTTTTGTTATCCACTGGTGAGAACAGGTGCTTGAACAAAACCCTTGCCAACTAAGAATGTATTCAACTTTTACAAAAACCAGTCACATTTTTAGGATGTCTAGTGTACTTATACACTTAAAATTTAGAAATGATTATGACACAATGAATGAAGGGATTTCTGCATCTAAAAGGATTACTCCCCCTATTTTATTATTTTATTACTATGGACAATTTTCTTTGAGACACATAACAAATATGGTTCAGTGAATGAAAAACTCAGACTTCAAGTCAAAGCTTAATAAATTAAATACTTTTTTGAAGCCTAAATTCTAAAGCAAGTAACTTCTGTATGCTAAAAGTTGTCTTAATGTGATTCATATTTATTTTTATAATATAATTTTTATCTTGCATTTAAAGTCTTTTCTCTTCTGTTTTCTTTCGTATTTTTTCTTTCTTTTGCCAGTCCTGGGGCTTGAACTCAGGGCCTGGGCACAGAACCTGAGTTTTTTGTGCTCAAGGTTAATGCTCTACCACTTTGAGCCATAGCTCTACTTTCAGCTTTTTGGTAGTTAATTGGAGATAGGAGTCTCATGGACTTGCTTTCCTAGGCTGGCTTTGAACTGTGATCCTCAGCTCTCAGCCTCCAGAGTAGCTAAGATTATACATATGAGCCACCAGTGCCCGGCCATTGAAAGATTTGTTTGTTTCATGCTGTTGTTTTAGATTGGCATTGAAAGTGAGAACAGTCTTGGAAAAATAATATAGATGATAATTTTAATATAAATTGAATTAGAGCTTGCCAAATGTAGCCAAACAAAGATGAAGGTGTAATTGATTGTATAGAAGCTTTTGATACTCATCAAATATTAAATTTCAATACTGTCTGTGAAAGAAAACTTTAACAAAGATTTACTTTATGAAGAGCTACATGCTTGCAAGGTAGACACTTACTGTTGTTTGTTTAATTTGAGTTATATTACACTGAGAATGTTGTATATGTAAAATCCATGTAATAGGCACAAAACTCATTAATACTACTTAATACCTCATATTCAAAAAGAAAGCAAACTAATTTGTGCATGAAAATCTTCTTACTTTATTATTTTAAGGAATCAAGACAGAATAGTACAGTGGAGGAAGATTCTGAAGGTGACAATGATTCTGAAGAATTTTATTATGGAGGACAGGTAAGAAAATCTGTCTTGGAAATATCCAATATCAAGGCTCTAGTTGCCATATCTTCCCTAGTTTAAGTCTAGGATTGATAGTTAAGTAGGGTTTCATAAGTTACTTCCTGTATCTGAATAATTTTTGTTTCTTCCTTGCTACATATTTTTAGAAATTAAGTTTACTTTTACAAATCATGTATAATCATCTATTTACATTAAGTTATGGAACCTTTTGCAGATAGCATTTAGTGGATCGCAGACAGCAAGCCTTTTAAGCACATTGCTTAAATATTTTGAAATGATTTGTGAAAGGGTGAACCCTCTTTCAAAAGCATAGACAGCTAGTTTTAAATAGATGGTGATTAACCTTAACAAAATTCGATGAGCCCCAATTATTGAGTATTCTCATGTTTTATTTGTGTTCCTTGTGTTGACAAATTATTACAAAAGATGCCATAACATAAGCTACACATATGAAACAACTTGTTAGTTGTTTTCCAAGATAAATAATAAAACTGAGTGTTTGACGTTAGGCTATCTGTTGTGTGTGTGTGTGTGTGTGTGTGTGTGTGTGTGTGTGAGCGCGCACGCGCATGTGTGTGTGTGCATGTGTGTGTGTGTTTTGATATATAGTTCTTTGGACAAATATGAACTATAACTTGGCAGTGACAGATATTTAATAAAAGAATGCAAGCAACTTTAACTTTATGCATTCTGAATAAAAAGTCACTAATTTCTAAATCAAGCATAGGCCCAAGGCAGTACAGCTGTGGACGCAATAAAACTGTTTCTTCTCTCCATGGGATACCATGCTGGCAATGGAATACTTTTCCTAATGAGATGGATTTTTATCCAACATAACATTTTAGAAAGCAGCATAATTCAAGTTTGATGTTTGTTTACAGGGCTAATTCTTACATAGGGCATCTAGTCTAGATGTATATTCTAGACATTTTTCAGAAAATTTCTCAGGCTCTTCCTTTACACATTTGCACTTCTATTGTGTTAAAAAGTCTTCATTTTAATTTTCATACATAAGGATGGTGCTAGCCCTATGTATATATAAAAACAACAGTGAATGTCTTACTGAGTTGACTTAGGGTTTTCTGGTGACGCTGTACATGTTCGTGTGGGATGCACAAGGTGATGGTCCACAGGACAGTTTGTGTTCTCATTCTTTCGATTCTTTTCACCCGAGTCACCTCCGCATCCTCCCTGTTATCAGGTGAACTATGATGGGGAACTGCATAAGCATCCGCAGCTGGAAGCTGATCTGTTGGCAGTGAGAGAGATTTATGGGCCACATGCAGTTTCTCTCAGGTAAATAAATACCTTCCATAAATAAATAGTAAAGTTATTAGATAAGCCATTGAGATTTTTATTTTCGTTGCTGAAAGTTAGTTACTTGCACATTTAGGGTAATTGTATTTGAAGGTGGTTGAGAAATTCTGTTGTGTTTCTACTCCTGTTAAATGACATGGTTACTTTTTTATATACATGTTTTTTTTTAAGATGTTGCTTGCATTACTAATTAATTAGGTAAGTAATGATCTTGGCAGTATTAGGATTTGAACTCAGAGCCTCATGCTGATATACAGATGCTTGATCACTGAGCCGTACCTCTACCCCCTTCTTGCTCTGGTCGTTTTAAGGTCTCACTTCCTCCCCAGGTGTGCACCTGGACCGCCATCTGCCTATTTTAGGTTTTGTATCAGAACTACCGAGCTTTTCCATTTGAGATGGAGTTCTCACAAGGTTTTCTACCCAGGATTGCTTGGACCTGCCATCCTTCCCCTGTCTGCTCCCACGCAGCGGGGATTAGAGGCATGCCTCACCATAGCCCTTTGTTGATGCAGAAGGGACCTCACATGTATGTTTGGACGGGCCTCAAATGACAGTGCTCCCAATCTCAGCCCCACACGTAGTTAGGACTATAGTTTTGAGCCACCAGTGCCCAGCAGGAAATTAGTTGTTCTAAAGTGTTAGTTTGAAGAAATATTAATTTTAAGATGTGTCATAATTAATTACTGTGATAGATTTGGCCATCATTAATCCAGGCCATACCTCTGTTAACAATGAAAGTAAATAATCCAAAACTACATGCATCCAAGACATGCTGCGATCTGGTCCCTTAAAGACAGTGACCTAAATTTGTTGTATGTTATTGTATTTTATTTGATAGTTATATTTGGTGATGATTTCTTTGCTATTTAAAAATTATATTTAGTAATTCATAGAACATACCAGCCCTATCTGCTTTTATTTTCTTTCCTATTATATGGGAAAGCCTTTTCTGCCATTAAACTCTCTTCCAGGATTGAGATCTGGTTTATTTCCGTTTTCTAGGCTTTGCTGATACTATAGTCTTTAAGTCTGTGTGACATTTTAGGCTCTTCTCACAAACTCAGTTCAGGTCCAGCTTCTATTCATCCAAACTACCCTGGTGGTCCAGGTTTCCTCATAACAGAGCATCGCATAAGCAGTTCTCTTGTCAAATCCCATGTTGCCTTGCTCTCAATTCCTTTGCTGTCTCTGGCCAAGCCGAGTCGGAAGGCTGCTTTTCTCAAAGCCTTTCCTGACTCTCTAGTGCAGATGAGTTATTCCACTTTCTGGGCTCATATCCCACTTGGCTTTTGTCTTGCTTATTATACTTTTTATGACTTTTAATTTATTTCTCCCTCCAACATTGAATTCTCTGTATGTTGATTTTTTAAAAGTCTTTGTTGCATTTTGCTTTGTTTTATTTTTTAATGATTCTCCCATTCTGGTACTTAGCATAGAACATGACATAACTGTAGTGTGTGTGTGTGTGTGTGTGTGTGTACATGCTAGTCCTGATGCTTGAACTCAAGGCTTAGGCATTGTCCTTGAGCTTTTGTGCTCAAGCTAGCGCTCTACCACTTGCTTTGGTGCCAGTCCCAAGGGTTTGAACACAAGGCCTGAGTGCTGACCCTAAGCTTTTTGTTCAAGGCTAGTGTTCTACTACTTGAGGCCCAGATCCATTTCTGGCATTTTAGTGGTCAATTGGGCAAAAATGTCTCATGAACTTTGCTGCCCAGGATTAGTTCAGAACAACAATCCTCATATCTCAGCCTCCCGAATAGCTAGGATTATAGGCATGAGTCACCAGCATGTAGTTCAAAACTGTACTTTGAGAGTGAACATATAAATTAATTGAGAAGGTGAACACAGTTATAATTTGTAATGGTTAAAATGTTTCCTTTAAACTTCAGAAACTACCCCCTGCAGCTTCCATAGCTGAGCTGTGGTCCTAAACCTCTGCCTTGCTCTTTTTGAAATTTTTGGTCAGAATTCCTGAACTCTGGGCCTGGGTGCTGTCCCTCAGCTCTTCAGCTCAAGGCTAGAACTCTACCATTTGAGCCACAGCACCACTTCCAGCTTTTTCTGTTTATGTGGTGCTGAGGAATCAAACCCAGGACCTCATGCATGCAAGGCAAGCGCTCTACCACTGAGCCACCTTCCCAGCCCTCTGCCCTGCTCTTGCATCTATGGCAGCTTTGAGTGATAGTGACCAGATTATGTTTTGGAAAGCTAATTTTTTTTACAAACTGTAATGTTTTAGCACATTCGCTGTGAACATTTCCAAGCTGGTCCCTATTTTAGCTCCATATTAGAGGCTGTGGATATTCAAGAAGTTCTATGTGTAAATGTGTGAAGGAAGCAGTAGAACTCTTGGTAACTAGTTCAGCATAATAAATTTCTATAGAAATTAAAGGGTTAAATCTTTACCTTTCAATGCAGTCATTGAACCTCTGCACCCATAAAGGCTTTGAAATATAATCAATAAGCATAATACAACATAGAATTTGACTTCATTCAAAATAATGTATTTTAAAGAGGATCACCATGGTACAGACTGAATACCTGTACAGTTAACGATTTCTTTAAAATGTGATTTCTATATTTTCTAGATCTAGTAATAGCATCATGGAATGACGTACCTCTTAAGGCATTTATTATGTACCTGTGATGGTACTGTACCTATAAGTATCCATGTTCTTTATTCCAGCACATCAGGAGGCAGAGAGACAATTGTATTACAAGTGTGAGGCAAGCCTGGGTACAGAGATTCTGCCTCAAACAAAACAAAACTCCATGAACTTATGATGATCTGTATAGTGAAGTCATCAAAAATTATTGACAAGTGAAAGTAGATAAGTGTTTGAAACTTCAGCATTATGAAGCACTTACAGCAGTAAAACCATTTGAAGGTTTCTTTTTGCCTATATCATTTACAACAGTTTTTAATTCACTTTAAACCTTAAGGAATTCAAGCCATTTTCTTGTCTATTCAAGACTTTTTCTAGCTAGAGAGGATGATTCCAGAATAAATAATCTTAGGGTATGAACATGAACCACATGAAAACTAGTTTGATTTCCTTAAAGTAAATTAAAAAACAAAAGAATTTCATGTCTTCTCTTGATTCTGAGATTTAGACATATGGGAAGAGTAGTAGTTATGAATAAGGCCCTGGAATCATCTTCCTTGCAAAATACCAAGTCTATTGAAAACAGACTGTTCTAATTAGCTGTTCTTTTACTTAATTGAGGCCTATAAGAACTTAATGGAGTTTGAAGAGCAAAAGTACTTCAATAGGCACAATAGGCTATTTGGTGTCAATTTTTTTATATGCCATCTAATGAGAAAGGCAGTTAACCACAGCTAAGTTCTTTGTAAGAGGTGAAAAGAATGGATTGCCTAGATTGAGACAAAACTCCTTTGAAAGGAGGCTAAAAGAAGATGTAGAGAAAGTACTGAATATTAAATTCATCACTTAACATACCATGCCAGTTCCAACTGACCACACGATCCCAAAACAAGGAAGTGACTGTAGTAGCCACACATGCAGACATAAGTGAGAGTTCTTATTCAGTCTCTCCAGCAAGAAGTGAGTTCTTTTCTCTAGAACAGAAATCCTGTGATCATTCTGAGTGCACTTAATCTTGAATCACATAACACCATGCTTTGGCGCATGTCTTTTTGCTGTAGATGCTCTTATAATCATGTTGATAGAATATTGGTCAATGCCATTTGAAGGTAATTTCAGATCAATATTTTTAGAAAAGAAAAAGTTCTCATTTGGATAGGAAAGAAATGATTCTGATGATTTCCTTTGACATGTAAAATTCCCATGTGAAACCCAGGTGAAGTAGCCCTTGCCTTATGGCCATGCCCTCTTTCATTTTTAAAAATTGAAGTCATAAGAGTAATGTACGTGGATGCTAGATTGTAAGCTCATGGAGGCAGAGATCTCGTTCACCGCTATATTTCCACTACGCACTTAGTTGCAGCTCAATAAATTTTGATTGAAGGAAAAAGAAGAGTAATTGTAACCTTTATTATCGTGTCTAATGCCTAACATGGAGTGGGCTCCCAAGAGTGTGACTGCTGAATATTTTAGTAACTATGGGTGGAAAATAATGATCGGGCCTCTATGAGTTGTTGATGACTAAAAACAAGATCATTCCAATGCTTTTTGATGGTTGGAGGAACAACCATCTACCACTTGGCTCATAGTTACCAAATCGATATCTCCAGGAAGGAAGGAAAGAGGGAAGAATGAGGAAAAGAGGGAGAGTGTAAGGAAGTAGGAAGGTCAAAAGAACAAAATACTAAAAAAAAAAAAAAAAGGAAAAACAATCTACACAGATGGGGGATGGTCACTTTTATTTTGCTGAATTTCTAAATTTCCATTCAGTAGAAATTGCTGACAAGTCTTCTGTTTCTCTTGTCCTAGTGATCTGAAAGACTTGCATAATTCCACTCCCACTAATACTTAGCATGGATGTGTGGACTAGTTTTGTCCAGGGATGTGTGCACATAGTGCAAGACAATGACTGAGTTCCTATGTCTTCTAGACTCTCTGTTAACCTAGCCTCCTTGATGACTATGGCCTGTCTCATTCCCAACCCACATAGTTATAAATCCTTTTAGTGTGAGGTAAGCCACTGACATTTTGAGGATTTTTTTTTACAATAGCATAGCTTTACCCACACTGAAACATGTCATTCATCAGAAAGAGATCTTGAGTTGGGTGTTGGTAATTTCCTCTCCAGCATATTGATCTGATCTGGCAATTCTGCCTCTGAATTAAAGAAAAAAAAGAATCTACCACTCGAAACTAGGAAAGAAATGATAGGAATGACAGGAAGGAGAGAAACCAATAGGAGAGGATTTCCAAAGACACGCGAGCATAATGTAGATATGAGTGAGTTTCAGAGCTGAGATCCTGGACTCATCTGTGCTCCCAAAGCCTGGGGATGTCTTTGAATGAAATCCAGGATATTTAAGCTGACAG